CTCGCCTTGAGCTGAAGAGCTGAGGGACAGCGCCCAGGCCCAGAGTTCAAGCCCCATGACCAACAAAAAAATATATATATAATTTTTACCTTACTCATGTAACTGTAACCCTCCCTGTACAGTATCTTTACAATAAAAATGTATATTAAAAAAGGAGAAATGAAATAAAATACTTACATGATTTTATAGTCACATTTTGTTATGACACTACCCCATAAAACATGATAAAATGCTAAGTCACTGATTCTCCTGTGAAAACCTAAATACTACCCAAAGTGATTTATAAAATAAGAGACAAGAGACTTGCAAATATTGCACAGGGAGATTTGTATATCTTCAAAATCCCTATGCTGAAACCTACTCTCCAAAATTCCTAGAGGATGTATTAGCAGGTGGGGTCTTGAGAGGAGGCTGTGAGGCCTCTGCCCTAAGCAGCATTAGTGCTCTCAATGGGCATCCCACAGAGGACAAGAGAAACTTCCTCCCTGTGAACACACACAGTGAGATTAATCTAGGAAAGCAACTAACACCAAAAGTAAGAGAATTAGCAAAACATGGGTTGAAGGCTGGGAGGCTCAAATGAGTCCTACTAAAAGATTTAAAAAAAAAGAAAAAAGAAAAAAGATTCAAGACAATCAGTCAGACACTGTAATACAAACCTAAATGCAACGAATGAATGACAACTACCACCTTGGCCTCCCTCATGAACATGGGTCCTTAGCAACATACTCAGTTGCTGTCCACAGCTCACCTCATGAGTCTGCCTTCTCAGCTTAGCATATCTCTGAGGAGTTCCTAGCACCAATGCCTACAAATACAATCCCTTTTTCTGTAATACACAGGGCCCAAAACTGAACCTTGTAGTATTTCCAAGCCCTGTAGAAAACCTCAAAGAGCATGACCTCCGAGAGTGCGGAATGGTTTCAGCAGTCAGTGTGTTGCTGACTTTTGTGATTGAACTTACCTGAAAAGGTGGGCTATACTGGGTGACTTCCACAGTGACTGCATCAGACTTTTGGGAGCCATTATCTTCTACAGTTATCAGGGAGTAGTAGATGAGGCAGGGACTGTCAGCAGGGTGCCAAGCTGCTGCCAAGACCAGGAGCCCATCACTAGCCAAAAACAAAGAAAACCACAGCCTCTTTGGAAACAGCCTGGAAGTTCTTACAGACTTAAAAACACACTCACCACATATACTAACAATCTTACTCCCAGTTTCTAACCCAGTGGAAGCAAAAGCCCTGCTCAGATGAACACATACTAAATTGAGAAAACCTAATGTCTTTTTTTGTGAGCTGTTCTTGGGGTTTGAACTCAGTGCTTGGGCATCGTCTCTGAGCTTTTGTACCACTTGAGCGACAGCTCTTGTGGTGTTTTGTGGGTTAACTGGAGATACAAGTCTCATGGACTCTACTGCCTGGGCTGGCTTCCAACAACAATCCTGAGATCTCAGCCTCCTGAGTAGGTACAATTACAGGGGTGAGGCACCAGTGATGGGCTAACCCAACATTTTTCAACTGCTGAATAGATAAATAAGCCTGGTGTACTCACACAATGCAATACTATTTGGCAATGAAAAGAAACATATTATCAATTTCAAATGCACTAAGTGAAAGAAACCAGACTCAAGTCTGTAATTCAACAGAATTCAAGAATATTTTTTCTCCAGTTTGGAATGTGTTGCTTGTTTCCTAAAGGCCTATAAGAACACTGCATAAGGAATGCTGGAGTGGGGTCTCAGAGGAAGGAACCCTGGGGTTTCCCTTCCCACATGGAGCACTGGTCAACCAGTCCTGAAGTGCCTATGAAGGCACTGTGTGACAACCAGTAAGCATGGTACCATGCATCGTGCCACAACGCAGAGACACGGTTAACAAATAACATCCTGAGTGATGTGAGGACCAGTTTTCCTTGACATCTTTGTAAAACAAAACAAAACAAAAAGCCTTATTTGAAAGTCATGAAGCTGGGCTGAGAAGTTGGCTCAGTGGTAGAGAGCTTGCCTTGCATGCATGAGGCCCTGGATTCAATTCCTCAGCACCACATAATCAAAAAGAAAAAAGCTGGAAGTGGCGCTGTGGC